TAGTTTCCAAGCTGCTATTTTCTCACTTAACTATTATTTATTTTTCTAGTTATTTAACAGTTATTACCAGTATACACCTCCTGGTAGTAATATTAAGCATTTACTAGATAAGTATAATAATATAAGTATAATAAGCATCGAAATTCAAGTCATTAATAAATTAGTAACAAGGCAGAATCTGTGGCTGCCCTTAGCAGACCATTAAAGACCAGAGGGAGTGACTTTAAAACAAATTTGGAAGGATAGCAAATCTTACTTTTCTATTTTTAAAAATTTATACAATCAGAGTTTTTGTTATTTGACCGTCATCTAAAGAATGAGGAGAAATTTGTTTTAAGTTAGAGATGGGGACTAACAGTTTTTTAGATGAGAATTCTAGTTTGTGTGCAAAACCTGGAGGAAAGAGGTTGTTAGGGACACTTTGAAGACTCTTAAGATTTTGTTGTGGGAAAGTTAGAGACCAGGGTATAAAAAGGATACTCTGAGCAGAGAGAGATGAAGCTGGAAAAGTAAATAGCTGTCAATGTCCAGAGGCTTGACTGTGAGTTCTCCAGGGGGTGACCTTGAAAAATCACTTAATCTCCCTGACTTGATTTTCTTATTGGTAAGAGAATACAGTGAAACCTGCCCTGCCAGTGACAGTCAAGGTGAAGTGGGTAAAAGCTCCTAGCTCCTCATGCATGATGGTCTCAAAAAACATGTATAATTTTTTTTTTTTGACTTGGGGTCTCACTCTGTCACCCAGACTGGAGTGCAGTAGCATGACAGCTAATTTTTTAATCTTTTTTTTTTAGAGGCAAGGTCTCACTGTTTCCAAGGCTGGTCTCAAACTCCTGTGCTTAAGCAACCATTCCTCAAATTCCCCAAGTACTGGGATTACAGGAGTGAGCCACTGTGCCCAGCTTATAAATAACTTTAAATATTCTTTACCTGATGAAAAACTAGTCATTGGGCCATTGAATAAAATGAATAAGTTGACTAAAGATTCCTTAATGGCCACTTATTATGATTATTATTATTATTATTTTTGAGTTGGAGTCTCACTTTGCTACCCAGACTAGGGTGCAGTGGCATGCTCATGGCCACTGCAGCCTTGACGTGCTGGGCTCAGGCGATCCTTCTGCCTCAGCCTTCCAAGTAGCTGGAACTACAGGCACGTGCCACCACACCTGGTTTATTTTTTTATTTATTGTAGAGACGAAGTCTCACCAAGTTGCCTAGACTGGTCTTGAACCCCTGGACTCAGGCAGTCCTCTGCCTCAGTCTCCCAAAGTGCTGGGATTACGGGCTTGAGCCACCGTACCTGGCTTAATTATTTTTCTTGATTGGCCAAAATTTTAGCAGCATTGTGAAAATTTAGTGAGCTAATGAGTCAGAATTTTTTTAATACTTTGTTACCCATTATTGAAATTAGAAAAGCCAGAAAACACGGTATTAGAGGTTATAAAACCCTTTATCCTCTGCTTGATGTGAACAGGATGCTTCTAATTAAGTGTATAGAGATGGCTTTACAAATGCATATATGGATAACTCTGTGAGTAGTTTGGAGAGATGTTTTTGGTATTTAAGACTGTCATTTTTGAATTATTCCCAAATTTTCTCTCGTCATCCCACACAAATTCTCCACCTTCAGATGAACACATTACTCTAGAAGCTGGTCAAGTCCATTTGTATATCTAATCCTGAATTGTACCCTACATCCTTAAAAAAAATATATATATATATAATTTTAAAAAGACTGTCATTTTTGATTTTCTCCAATTTTGTAAATTTAAATAAACTACATATGTGTATCAGTTCTATAGACTTATAACTTAAAACTATGTATAATTGTAAAAAAGAATACATTGCCCAAGTTAACTGCTGTTAACATTTTAGAAAATTTCCTTATCTTTCTCTACTTGCATATGATCATTTTAAATACAATGTGTTTTTTAAAATTATAAAAGTAGAGCATTTTCATGTTTTTTTTTAAAGTGAGAGATAAAAGTTAAAGACCCTTAGCCTTTCTCCACTTTCCAGAGGTAGTTATTTTTTTTTTTTGAGTTGGAGTTTTACTCCGTCGCCCAGACTGGAGTGCAGTGGCACACTCCCGGCCACCGTAGCCTCGACCTGCTGGGCTCCAGCGATCCTTCCGCCTCAGCCTTCCAAGTAGCCAGAACTACAGGTGTGCACTATCATACCTGGCTAATTTTTGATTACTGCAGAGATGAGGTCTCACCAAGTTCCCTGGGTGGGTCTCGAACCTGAGGGCTCAGGCAATCCACTCGCCTCAGCCGCACAAAGCGCTGGGATTACAGGCTGAGCCACCAAGCCGGCCAGCCCGTAGTTACTTTTAATAGCTGCTTTTGTTCTTTATATTCATTTGATGACTTCCTGTGAGTCTGACTTACGATAATCAGACTCACAGGGTGTAGTCAGACTCCAGAGTGTAACTAATGTATTTAATAGACATTAATTGAATTGAACGTCTTTATTTCATTTGATTATTGATGTGAATACAAAGAAAAAATATAATTCTGGTTAAATTTAACCAATTTACGATTTAATTTAATCTGCTATTTAATCAATCATTGTATCCTCAGTTTGATACTAATCAGTCTAATTATAGTTGCTTCCTCTGGATCTTGGTATTTTTTGTATTGTTAGTAATGAAATGATTCACAGTACTTACCAATATTGTCTAGACTTTTTTCTAAAATATTTTAACTGTTACTTTTAGTTTGTAGCACAGATGTGAAATTGCTCTGTTATATGCTCCATCTTGTTTTATAACTTTATAATCATATGACTTTTGGGGTACATAAATTTATATTTAGCTTTTTAAAAATCAGGGTTCATGATACTTTTCCTTGTGGTACACCTTGTAGATCTGTCAGTGCTATATTGATGTTATTCAGAGTTGATTAAATGAATGCCAGGTTTTAGATTAGGACCTAAATACAGGGGGTGCCAAAAAATGTATACACATTTTAAAAGATGTTATCTATGTATTACTTTTTGAAGTTGAATTAAATTATGGTAGCAATGTATAATATAACGTTTGCTCAGCCATGCTTCTGCCATTTTCCTTGGCTCCTGCATGGTGACACTAGCATTCATTTGATTAATGCCATCTTTTGAACAAACATCATACTTAAAATGTGTATACATCTTGTTCGCACCCCCTGTATGTCTTTTCTACCTTTTTAACTTGGCATAAATAAAAATAAATATAAAATATTCATTATAAACAGGCTTAACTGACACATGTAGACATACAGATGGCTACATTATCTATTAAAGTAAAGCTGTACTCTTTAGTTAGTTCAAGAAGTATAACTTGGAGGTCTGTGGTTCAGACGGGTACAGTGCTAAGCAGTGGGATTAAAAAGATGAATAAGAGACCCTTTTTTCTATAGTCAGTTTTTATCCTTTTTGATACCTAGGTAGATTTGAATACTGAAAAGGTCCTAGCTAGAAAGTGTGCAGAAGGGAGAGGGAAGTAGGTTGGAATTCTTTAGTGAACTTTCTAAAATTCTGGAATCATAAATAGGAATCAGATGAAGAATGAATATACTATAGAAGAATCCATTGATCTCCACAGCTCAGGACTCTTCGTAGGGCTTGTGACTCAATTCAGGAATAGACTGAATAAATGCTGAGCACATTAAACATACCTAGGCCTTATTTTTAACCAATGATATTGTTATTAAGTAGAGTCTCTTCTGCAAGCAGAAAAATGGAGGGATAAAGGGTGTTGCCCTCTAAACATGAAGGTCTTGTCTTATAGAACACGAATGTGTGTGAAATTAATAATACTTTTTATGTAAACTGGCATGGCTTCCATTGGTTTTGCATTTAATGATCTAAGTACATGTGATCATTCTTTAGGGGGAAATGTCTGGCAAACCTTTTTTTGGAGTGGGGCGGGATTCAGGGTCTCACTCTTGCCCAGGTTGGAATATAGTACCATGATTACAGTTCACCACAACCTCAGAACCTCCTGGGCTCAGGTGATCGTTCTGCCTCAGCCTTCCAAGTAGCTGGGACTACAGGCACACACTTCCATACCTGGCTAATTTTTGTGATTTTTTTTTTTTTTTTTAGAGACTAGGCTGGTATGATGGTATACTTTAAAAAATTACCAGTCTATTTACAGACAGTTATTTTGAACTTGTGAAGTTGGTATTATTCTTGTTATTTTTTTCTATGTGATATCTTAAGATCTGGCATTTTATTTTCCTATGAAATTGTAAGGGTTGTAAAGAACCATTAATCTTTTGGTATAGCTGTCTTGCCAGATATAAGAGAAGCAATGAAGTCAATGACTAGGTTTCATTGAGTAGTAGTGGTTAGGAAGCCAGTGATTTACTTTCTGTGATAAGCATTTTCTGTGGTTTATCCAAGTCACTTTATTTTTTGGCTTATGTTACTCTTTGCTATAATTCTTAGCTATTCATCTGTCTTTAAGCCTGACTTCATTTTTGGTAAATAGGGTAAATTATGTCGATCTTCTACTAAATGATTATTTATTTACTATAACTGAAATGTCTGTCCTTAAAAATCAAGTGCTGGAAAGGAGTTTAGCATATCAACCAAGCCTACTTGTTTTTGGTGAAGTTCTGACTTATAGTCAATCTCAAGGTAATGAACTTGAAAAAAAGGGGCTTTGTTTCACGTGTTATAAATTGTAAATGTTTGTTACATAAATAAATAAATAGTTATCTCTTCTCACCCTATTCATGGAAAACCTGCTTTATTTACTGCATTCTCTACCCCTTGCAGCTTTATTAAAGTACGGTTGACAAGTAAAAATTGCACATATGTATGGTGTACAATGTAGTGTTTTGGTATCTGCAGCTTTACTGTGTCCTTACTGTACATTAGTGATGTTTGTACTATATCCCTTCATATATATTAGATACAGAGTACGTATCAGTTGATAATTTCCCTGTTAACAATATGTAGTTTTTTCTTTTATCAACTAACATTCTACAGTTTTTTTTTCCTTTTACCAGTTTCTCAAACAGCTAGGTCTACATCCTAACTGGCAATTTGTTGATGTATATGGAATGGACCCTGAACTCCTTAGCATGGTACCAAGACCAGTCTGTGCAGTCTTACTTCTCTTCCCTATTACAGAAAAGGTAAGTGTTGAGTAAGATATCAAGTGTCTTGTAAAGAGAATGATTTTGTTTTGTTTTGTTCTTACAAAGTCTTTGGTTAATACAGTCTTTAGCAACAAATGTCCTTCTTGCATAAGATCAGATGATCTAGGCAGTGAGGAAATCTTAAACATGTTTTATTAAAGAGGTGATATTTAGATTTTGATATGTAGATTGACAGTAAAGCCCTAGGTTAGTCTTTTAAGCTTGGATAGTTTCTTCTTTTATAAAATATGGTTAGTTTGCATCAATTGTGGTGTGATGTGACATTTAATCACATTTTGATTTACATATTTTAGAAATTTTAAGTACCAGAATACTCTTTTTAAAAAATTAGAAAATATAGCTTATTTAGAAAGTAAATTTGAGAGAGAAAGAGAGAGAAAGAGAGAAAGGAGATTCACTTCCCCCAGGTAGGGGAGGGGGCCAAAGCCAGGAAACATGGCCTGGCCATAGCTTAGCAAAGCAATGACCTAGAATGCTCTTGAATAAAATTATTGTAATATACATTAAAAACGAAAGCTCTTTAGCTTATTTTTAGGAGGTAAGGGTAACTGGTGATGTGAGTTACATTATTTTCAAACTAAACATGATTTGGTTGGGAATCACTATTTTTTTTAAAGACACAAATTCTTGCTATGTCACCCAGGCTGGAGTGCAGTGGCATGATCATAGCTCACTGTAACCTTGAACTCTTGGGCTCAAGTGATCCTCCCTCTCAGCTTTCTGAGTAACTAGGACTACAGGCATGTGCCATCACACCAGGCTTTTTTTTGTTATTTCTGTTTTTTATTTTCTATAGAGATGGGGTATTGCTGTTGCCCAGGCTTGTCTCGAACTCCTGGCCTTAAGTGATCCTCCTGCTTTGGTTTCCCAAAGCTTTGGGATTACAGATATGAGCCACCTCACTTGGCTAGAATCACTAATTTTAATCACAGTTTAATTGGTAGACTTAGAATGTGTTGGGTATTATAAATAGCTATTCTTAGATCTCTGTATTTAAATTTAAATAGTCATATTTTAGTCCATCTAGAATGATGTCATATATACATACAGTGTGGAACTGAACTTTTAAGTACATTTTAAAATGACTTTTGAGTCTATATTATTTGGATTTTTTAAAAAATTTTATTTATTTATTTTGAGTTAGTGTCTCACTGTGTCACTCTGTCTGTAGTGCAGAGGCACAGTCACAACTCACTGCAGCCTTGACCTCCTGGGCTCAGACTATCCTTCCATCTCAGCCTCCTGAGTAGCTAAGATTACAGGTGCATGCTATCATGCCCGGCTAACTTTATGAACTTTTGTAGAGATGAAGTCTTGCTGTGTTGCCTAGACTGGTCTAGAACTTCAAGCAATCCTCTTGTTGAAATCCTTGGCCAAAGTGCAGGGATTACAGGTGTGAGCCTTGGGCCTGGACTGATTTTTATTTTTAAACTTAGAAACAAGAGAATGAATTCAGTAGTTGTAAGAAATGAGGAAATAAATGTTTAGGACAATGTAGAATAAATATGGTGTTGATGATTTGGCATATACATGCTCAGGTCATCCTTCAGAGGGAAATGGAGCCAAATCTCACAGAAATTAAGAATCAGGCTTTGCTCAATCCTAGAAATTCCTGGATCATTTTCTTTAGGCCATCACTAATTTAGCCTCAGTTAATTTACTCCTACTTAAAGGTTCTACAAAACAAATTATTTAATAGTATTAATAAAAGAAATAGTATTTTTGTATATTTGCTACTTGTAATATTCATAGAAATTTAGAGTTAGCATTTTTCTTTGTAATTATCCAGTATTAGATGAAACTCTTATTTTTAGTGGTAAAGTTGTGATTATTCTGAAATTTGTAGAAGAGTAACTTGTTTACTTTCAATCCAGTGTTACTTTCACTTTTTTTTGATTACTAAAGTAAGCCAGTAGGTAATTATTCCAGGACCCCAATTATAAAGAGCAGGAAAGAACTGAAAAAGTCGCTTAAAGCTTAGGCTTTCTTAGGTGATGTGATACAAATATGAGTTTATTGTTTGAATTGGAAATTTCAAACCATTAATTTTAATTACCTACTTTTTAATTGGTAAAGAATAAATTAGCTGGCCACAGTAGCTCACGCCTGTAATCCTGGCACTGATATTTAACCGGGCATGGTAGGATGTGCTTGTAGTCTTGGCTACTTGGGAGGCTGAGATGGAAGGATTGCCTGAGCCCAGGAAGTCAATGCTGCAGTAAATTGTGATTGTGCCTCTGCACTACAGACAGAGTGACACAGTGAGAGGACTGCCTGACCTCAGGGGTTTGAGACTACCCTGGGCAACTTGGTGAGAACTCATCTTTATAATAAATCAAAAAATTAGCTGGGTGTGGTGGCACGCACCTGTAGTTCCAACTACTTGGAAGTCTGAGGCAGAAGGATCGCCTGAGCGCAGCAGGTCGAGGCTGCAGTTGCTGTGATCATGCCGCTGCATGTGAGCCTAGGTGACAGAGTGAACCTCCAACTTAAAAAAAAAAAGAATAAATTAGATTTGATCTTTTTCATTTCATGAGGCATCAGTATTTAAAACACATATTATCTTTATCGATAGGACTTCTTTGTTTAGTAGATTATCAGAACAAAAAAATTCTTGTTAGGAAGAACATAATTCTAAAGTATTTATGTTTATATGAGTAGAGAATTTATGTAAGTATATAACTAAGTGTAAATACTTATATAGGTAGAGAATATAAGTAGCATGTACTACTTTTTTTTTTTTTTTGAATTAGAGTCTCACTCTGTTGCCCAGGCTGGAGTGCCATGGCACATTCATGGCCACTCCAGTGTTGACCTGCTGGGCTCCAGTGATCCCTCTGCCTCATCCTTCCAAGCAGCCAGAACTATAGGTGCACGCTACCATGCCCAGCTAATTTTTTATTTATTGTAGAGACAAGGACTCACCAAGTTGCTCGGGCTGGTCTCGAACCTGTGGACTCAGACAGTCCACTCACCTTGGCCTCCCCAAGTGCTGCGATTACAGGCTGGCATGTACTACTTTTTGATGCCGCTTACAGTTTTGTAGATCCCTATTTTAGCTCCTAAGTGACATATTAAAAGTTATTCACGACATCTAGTGCATGTTTTAGGAGATACAAATTAGTTGGATCTTCTAAATTCTCATTTAGAAATTGAATGTGTAGTTGTAAATGACTTAATCATACTAATAGCAAAGGAACTGTCATGGATACCTTATTACCCTTTAAATGTCAATGATGATAGTTTTTAAAAAAAATAATTTCATTGTGTATGTTTGAAGTTTACAACATTATGTTACGGGATTCATATACATGTAAAATTCATGTACATGTACATGCTTATAGAGGTAAAGCAGATTAATGTATCTGTCATCTCACATAGTTACTTTTTTGTGACAAGAACGGCTAAAATCTACCTATTTAACAAAAATCCCTAATACAATATAATTTTATTAATTTCAGTTTTCATATACGTAAGAACCCTAGACTTGTTTACCTACATACCTGCTATTTTGTGTCCTTTGACCTACATCTCCTCATTTTCTCCCCCTGTCCCATTAGTTTACATTTAGGTTGCTTCCATATCTTGGCTATGGCTACTAATGCTGCAGTGAACAGGGGAGTGCACATGTCTTTAGGAGGTGGTGATTTTATCTCCTTCGGGTATAATACCAGAAGAGGCATTGCTGGATCATATGGTAGTTATATTTTGCATTTCTTTAGGAATCTCCATACTAATTTTCATAATGCCTGCAGCAATCTACATTTCCACCAACAGTGTACTAGGGTTCCCTTTTTCCCACACCCTTGCCGACATTTGTTATCTCTTGTCCTTTTGATAATAGCCATCAGTGATAGCATTTTGAATGTGTCCTTTATAAGAGTGCACATCAACCAGTGAGTAATAGATAAAGAGGTGATAAATTTATTTCTCTCTGATATTTATGTCTCTTGATCTTGTGCTTTCTCTTTGGTCTGCCATAATTTTCCTTTTTTCCTATATTTTGTATCATTTTAGGATTTTTTTCTAAACATTAAATCTTAAGAGGTTATCAAATCTTTTTTGCTTTTTTAACAGGAGCATGAATATTTACAATCAATTAAATTATAGAACCATAACTTTTTAGTGTAAAACTTTAATATACTGAAAGTTTTTCAGTTTTTATCAATTGCACTTTATATGAATAAGTTAATATTGGTTTATTCTGAAAATATTGCTTAAAGGTTAATTTAGAATCACAGTCATAAAATTCATATTTTAAGCATAATCTATTTGTTGTAAGAAGCAGTTTCTTAATTCTGGGTTTTCTCTAGACATCATTTGTTTCCTTTATTTCAAGGATCAGCAAAATTTTTCTGTAAAGGGTTAGCTGGGAAGCATTCTCAGGTTTGGATATCTTAAAGTCTCTACTGCAACTGGTCAACTTTGCCTTGAAAATAGTTGTACACAATAAATAAATGAAATTTTACTTGTGAAAACAGGCAGTGGGCGGATTTGCCCCATGGTCTGTAATTTGCTGACTGCACTCTATTGAAAGCTGAAAATTATAGAAAAGCACTAAACAGTAAAATCATCTTTCTACTTCCTCTTCTCCCATTTTTTAACCTCTTTTGTTATTTCTTTTTTATTTTTTTGAATTAGGGTCTTACTCTGTCACCCAGGCTGGTGTGCAGTGGCAAAATTACGGCTCACTGCAGCCTCAACCTCCTGTTGAAGAGATCTATGTCAAATGATCCTTCCATCTCAGCCTTCTGAGTAGTTGGGACTTCAGGTGTGCACTACAGTGTCTGGCTAATTTTTAAATTTTTTATAGAGACAGGGTCTCGCTATTTTACCCAGGTTGGTCTCAAACTCCTGGTTTCAAGCAGTCCTCCTGCCTTGGTCTCCCAAAGTGCTGAGATTACAGACATGAGCCACCACCCATCCTAACCTATTTGTTATTTTTAACCTTTTTTTTTTTTTTTACAATTAGAAAACAAATACAAAGACTTTAGTTTGCTGAAGTCACACAGCTCACAGTGGCTAAGCCAGGATGTAGGCCCAGGCACTTATTTTTCTACCCTATTGTTTTTATAACCAGTTATTATAGATAATGGCTAATGTTACTTATGAATAACATAGGATTATATAGTATACATTTTTATTAATATGGTATGATTTTTTTAAAAGGAAAAATATTTTTGCTAACGATAAATATAGAAATGTAAAATAGAAACGATGGAAGGATCGTTGAACCCAGAAAGTTGAAGAAATTAGAAAGTGGAAGTCCTCCAGTAATCTCTTAGCCCAAAGATAGCCAGTTATGTTTTTGCATATCCTTTCAGATGTTTCTATATATATAAATATTTTAGAAATACAAATGGGAATCACATTAATATGTGCTGCCTATAATCACTCTTAGTCATGGACAGAGTTCTAAGTCAGAATATGTAAATCTGCTTTATTCTTTTTAAAATGCTTTATAGTATTCTATTATGATGTGCCATAATGTGTGTTAACTAAATCTCCATTGATGGATATTTAGAATTTTTTCAGTTTTATGTTCTTTGAACTGTATATATCATTGTACATTTTTAAGATTATGTCTTACACTAAACTTCTATAAAGGAAATTGTTTGTTGGAGGATATGAGCATTTAAAATGTTAATACATATTACTATATGCTTTGTAGCATGGTTGTACAAATGTATACTTTTAATAATGCCTTTTTACTATATCCTTACTATCACTAGCTACTACTACTAATTTTTCAATCTTTTGTCAGTCTGGTAGGTGACAAATGAATTATTTTATTTTAAACCTTTTTAAAAAATAATTTTAATTATTTGCATTTTTTCTTTTACAAATGGAGTCCTTTTTAATGTAGATGTCCACATGTAGACAATTGACTTTTTTTTTTTTTAATAGTATGAAATATTCAGAACAGAAGAGGAGGAAAAAATAAAATCTCAGGGGCAAGATGTTACATCATCAGTGTATTTCATGAAGCAAACAATCAGCAATGCCTGTGGAACAATTGGACTGATTCATGCTATTGCAAACAATAAAGACAAGATGCACTTTGGTAAATAATTTCATTACTGCTGTTTTTCCTCCTTAAGATGTAAGTTAATTTCATTGAACAGTAGGTGGTGCTCTAATTCTTCCTTTCAAATTGTAAAACAAAGCCTGCCTCCTTTTTTTTATAGTGGGAATGTATATACTATTAGAATAAATGTTAGTCCTTCCCATACTTCTATTTTGTTGATAGAGGTTCAACAAATGAACAAATAACTTAAGGCCTGTCATTTATACGAAGATTCTTATATTTCTACTTACCAGTGAATGGGTTTTACTTGAAAAATAGTATCGGTTTCTTTGCTATCAAGCCTTTTTAATTTTATCTTCTTTGATATTGTTAGAATCTGGATCAACCTTGAAAAAATTCCTGGAGGAGTCTGTGTCAATGAGCCCTGAAGAAAGAGCCAAATACTTGGAGAACTATGACGTCGGTACCTTCTTTTTATCTTGATCTTATATGTGGGCAAAGTTTTGTGGGATTGCAAATTCTGTGGGGAGGGGTTTGTCTTGAAACCATAGTTTTGAGCAGTTATGGATTTTATTGTATCCATTAAGGCCTTCTGTACTTTTCAGATAACTTTATCTGAAATATCCATAAATGTTGACAAATTGCTGCTTCTTTTCTCAGTCCATAACTAACTGAACAGATAAAAGCAGTTTGATTAATTAATATAATATCTCATGATTGACTATTCTTTACCTTTTCCTCTCCATAATAAATATATGCCCTACATCTTTTACTGGGAATTTGAAACAAGGCTGAAGACAAAAGAAAAAAGCAAATGTAGGCATTAGGCCATTCTCTAGCTATTTTACCAGTTTAATAACCAGGCCATATAAACTAGATGTTATATATAAAATAGATTATATTTAATGCAGGTGGTAATGATTGTAGCAATCCTTCGGACTGTTTTAAAGCAATTTTTAGAATGTGTGACTTTTGGAATCAATTTTTATTTTCAAGTCATGTTACCTTTTAATACCATTATTAAATAGATAGTAAATTCTTTGAAATTAGAAACAATATAATCTGCAAATTATTTGGCTAGAAAAATGTCTTGTGTAGAGTTTATGCCCAATAACTTAATTGATTTGACCATGTTGTTTAGCATTCTAATATACTTTGAGTATTTTAAATTGTTTTTTCTTAAAAAAAAGAAAACCCAAACTGGAGCTATAATAAAACATCTTTATTATACATAAAAATAAACTAACAGCATGAAAGTCACCAGTAATCTTACAGTGAGAGGTAGCTAAACATTAATGCTTTTATAGGGAGTAGACAAGTATATACACAATTTTTAAAACAAATTTGATCACACTGTAATATTGTTTTATAACTTGCTTTTTTCACTTAACTTATCACAAACGTATTACATACCAGTAAGTATATATTTGATATTATTTAATGGCTGCATAGCTTTGTATTATATAGTATTTTATTTAACTGATAAATTGCAGTTAAGAATTTAATCATTTTTTCTCTTTTTCACTATTAAAAAATACTACAAGGTACATCATTGTAGCTAATTATTTGCAAATATCTTTAATTATGTATAATTATGTATGAGTATATGTGAATATATAAACTCCTAGAAGAGAAATTGTTGGATCAAAGAGTTTGCATGTTTTTAAGGCTTGGGTACTTAATCGCTAAACTGCTATTCATAAAGATTTTACTTTCATCTATAATTTACTATTGTGCCCATTTTTCTGCATCTTTGCAAATAGTGGGTATTATAAGAGCATTTTATTTTTTAGTTCAGGAAACTAAATTCTCTAGCTTCTAATAAATGCATGCTTTTTGCTCCACATTTCTAAATTGCCGACTGAAACTGCATGATTAAGCATAAATACAGCCAGAGCTACAGAGGAGCATGGAACCTGGAGAAACAAATGAGATAAGCTTCTTCAGTCTCTGTCTGTGAGATGCTGACTTTGTTTTAGTCTCAGTTGAATAAAGTGTTAAATGTTAGTTCTAAATAAGTTAAGTGCCCTCTACTTACACCCAGAAATTACAAATAATCAGATATTCGTTTTCCTAAGTCTTCAGAAATTTGTGGGTTAGGTAGTACAGCAATTCATTTGATTACCCGGATATCATTCTTAAATACCCAGTGTTAAGCTGTTCCTAGATTTCTCCAATTTGTTGTTTCTTTATAAGACTTTAGATGTTAAAATTTAACTTTTTGCTGCTTTCATTTAAAAAGTTGAAAATAGTCATTTTTTAAAGTATAAATTCCTTGTATTCTTATTACAGGCCATTCGAGTTACTCATGAGACCAGTGCCCATGAAGGTCAAACTGAGGTATTTCACATCTTTTTTCACAATTTTTCTTGGTATATATAAATTTAACCATAGTGTTATTATAGGACATGTAGTTTTAGAAAATCATTTGGCCTTTTTTTTTCCTTTGAAAGAATTTGCTTAAGCAAAAGCCATCATAAAGTAGCACAAGAGCATGTTTTGATAGGCTGTTGGTGTGCTACTATCTGCCATCTGAGTTTGTCTAATCATTTAGATGCAGATTGTGTGGTTTTTGTGTGGTTAACAGTTGGTCTATGTCTCCCCATTACATTCCTGTGACTTGCAAGTATTTTGAGAAAAATACCTGCACTATTGTACAGTTAGATAGCCTGTGTGATTTTTAAGAGTCTTTTATCATGCCCAGCATCCAGTAGAAAACCACCTCATTCTCTTTGCTTAATAAATTTTTTCGGGAGTAATGTAATATTCTTTACTATCTTTACTCTGTTAACTAGTTCGGCAGGGTGACTTCTCCTTTCCTTCTGCTTCTTTTTTTTTCATTTATTGGTTTCTTTTATTGTCCCATTTTTTCTTTCCTGTCTCCTTTTCTTCCAGCCTTTCACTCTACCTTTATAAAGGTTAAGTTTTGTCAGAAGTCAAAGTGAATAGAATTAAATTAAAACTGCTTGGTGTGTTTATAGCACATTTAAATGTTACTATAATAACAGAAAACTATAGATTTTCTTCTTTCTTATTCCATATGTTACTTGGAACCACATTTTTTTATGTACAGGATGTCGTTACCTTTATACTATAAAAGTACTTGAAAAAGCACTGGGTTGAAAAATATTTATTTCAAATATTCACACTGTCTTAAACGATGTTTTTAAGGAGCAATTTGATGCTGTGACATAACTGCAGTTATTCTTAGATTGAACTGGATAATTGTGAATGTTTATACTGAAACCATTTAGGAATTGAAACAATCCTCCCTGAAATTTTATTATACCTTCCTGGTTGCTCTAGGTGCCCCTATAGAAGGTGTGGTCTACTGTTTTTGACTAAGTTTAACACATACACACACAGTGGCATGTCTGTCTTTAACGCTAGTTTAGAAATTAATAAAATGCTCTGTGTTTTTAATTGCTTTATATGATCCTAAGCATACTCTTTTTTTTTTTTTTTTTTTTGAGTTGGAGTATCACTCCATCGCTCAGGCTGGAGTGCAGTGGCACGCTTACAACTACCCCAGCGTCGACCTGATGGGTTCAGGCTATCCTTCCGCCTCAGCCTTCCAAGTAGCTGGAAATACAGGCGCGTGCTACCATGCTCAGCTATTTTTTTTTTTAATTTATTGTAGAGATGAGATCTCTCTAAATTGCCCAGCCTGTTCTCGAACCCATGGGTTCAGGCAGTCCCCTCACCTCGGCCTCCCAAAGTGCTGGGATTACAGGCTGCATTTTCTTTTTCTTTTTTTTTTTTTGAGTTGGAGTCTTACTCTGTCGCCCAGACTGGAGTGCAGTAGCCGCTCCTGGCCACCGCAGCCTCGACCTGCTGGGCTCCAGCGATCCTTCCGCCTCAGCCTTCCGAGTAACCAGAATTACAGGCATGCGCTGCCACGCCTGGCTGATTTTTTGATTTACTGTAGAGATGAGGTCTCGCTGCCCAGGCGGCTCTTGAACTCATGGGCTCAGGCAATCCAGTCACCTCAACCTCCCAAAGGCGCGGGATTACAGGCTGAGCCACTGAGCCCGGCTCAGGCTGCATATTCTTAATCTTCACTATGCATTGCTATTTTATTTGCAAATATGTAGTGTTAAAATTAGTGCTGATGAGGATCAGCATAAGTTTATTGTAAGATACAAAAACAATTACTTGTTATAAAGCAGTTGAATGTTTTAATACCTATTTGCTTCAAAAAATATTTATTTTTGTGATACTTCCTCTTGCCCTTTTTTGGCGTTTCATCCATTATTTTACCTGTTTCTTATAATAGCTTCACCATTTATTTTTCCTACTGTAACTAATCTAATACAAATTTGCTTGACTTCTTGAATGGAAGATCATTCTTATGCAGATTCTTAGTATTCTAAACTTACTTCATTTTACACAACTCTGAATCAGTTGAGTACTCAAATTTTTCTAGAAGCTTCTTAATGCATAGAACAGTGTATTCTCAAGGCGGACAGGAGGTAGCAGTTAGGATTTTCTGGAGGGCCTTTTTAGACTACTGTATTCTCCCACAAGAATTAATCTTTTCTGCTCCTTTTTCATTTCCCTTAATTTAGAATCACTACTAGAGCAAACCCTATTTTTAGTGTTTATCATACATAAATGCTAAAATGGGATCTTCAGACTAGAAGTCCAAGATCAAGGTGTCATTAGTTGTTTCTAGTGAGACATTTCTTCCTAACCGTTTTCCTTTCTAACTTTTTTTTTTTTCTGCGTTGGAGTCTTACTCTGTCGACCTGCTGGGCTCCGGCGATCCTTCCGCCTCAGCCTTCCAGGTAGCTGGAACTATAGGCACGTGTTACCACGCCCGGCTAATTTTTGATTTGTTGTAGAGATGAGGTCTCGCCAAGTTGCCCAGGTGGGTCTTGAACCCACGGGCTCAGGCAATGCACTCACCTCAGCCTCCCGAAGCGTGGGATTACAGGCTGAGCCACCAAGCCCGGCTCTTTCTAGCTTTTTGACAGTATTTCTCTTTAGATATTTCTTTCTGGCCATCCCTGTTTCATTATTGCTGTTCTAGCAGTACCCTGTTTTTGAAACGATCCTTCCCTCCATCTCTGCATTTCTTACTTGTACCCATTTTCCAAGACTCAGCTTAAATATGAATTTCAACATGAAATAGTCCATGATACCAGACCTGGATATATTTCATCCTTTCTATGAACTTTTTTATATGACTACGCCAACTATTTTCATATTCTTTTTTATTTTTTTAAGATGTGTACTTTTTCACATTTTAAAAACTGAATTTAGGATATATCTTAAAATTGATTTCATAGTTTACTTGGTGTTAGTCCCTTCTTTAGTGATACGTAAAATGATATGTTTTATAACTAATGGTGGCTAAGTGTGATGCAGTATGGCATCCTAGCTCCCTTACTGTGCCTCTTAGGCCTGGGTTTGGAGTCTAACTTGTTTTTGCATGGTCCAAATTATCCAACACCATTCCTTGCATATAGGCACAACTCATATATAGTACATCACCGGAATTAGAGCTGTTTTGGTGTAGTAAGAACTACAGAAAATGGCCAAATCTTAATTTTCTTAGTTCCTTGAGGAAATGAAACATATCTATTAGCCATTGTTCCTGAACAGGAGAATGCTAACATTTTGGAAAGCATTCAATTCTTTGTTGTGTGGTACTGTTTTGTGCATTCCAGAGTGGAATATTGTAGTCCTGAGTCACTGAAAGAACAAAAAACCTACACTACATGTTTCCAAATCTAGTTGCCAGTCAACTTAAAACCCTTGCACCAGGGTCTGTTTTTCTGGTCATCTCATTTCGGGTTCATCCAGAGTCTTAAGAGTCTTTGATGTATTATTATCTCCATTGCCCCTGGATTCCAGTCTACTGATTTTTGTCAGTTCCTATAAAGTACCTAGAATTTTTCTGTCTATATTAGTCTGCTTAGGCCATCATAACAAAATATTAGTGGGTGACTTAAAGAACAGAAATGTGTTTTATCACAGTTCTGGAGCCTAGAAGTCCAAGATCAAAGTGTCAGCAGGGTGGTTTCTAGTGAGATGTTTCCTCCTGACTTGTAGACAACTGACTTCTTGCTGTATCCTAACATGGCCTTTCCTCTGTGTGCCCATGGAGAGAGAGAGAGAGACATACACACACACATACACACACATACACACACACACACACACACACACACACACACACACACACACACACAGACACACACAGACAGACAGACTGATACCTATCTGGTTTCTTTTCTTATAAAGACTTCAGTCCTCATGAATTAGCGCCACCATCCTTATGGCCTCATTTAACTTATTACCTCCTTAAGATCCCTGTCTCCAAATACAGCTACATGGGATATTAGGGCTTCAACATAGGAATTTTGGGAGGATACAGTTCAGTCCATAACACCATCTTTGCACTTTCTAACAACTCAGTACCCTTCTGGGTATACCCCTCCCCTTTTCAGAGTTGGTGCCTTCTCTTTCAGGTCTTACCTTAGAGGTAGTTTTTCAGAGAAGCCTTCTTTCATGATTGTTAAGTAGGTCCTCTTGTCTTATTTTCTGTCATAAAATCCTGTTTATTTTCTTCCTGGCACTTTTAATAATCTATAGTAAGTTTTACTTCCTTTTGTTTATTTGTTTATTCTGTTGACTTATTAGAATGTAAATCCCATGAGGGCATAGGCCTTGTTTGTCGTGTTTACTTTGAATCCTCAGGAAAATGCTGGAAATATATGGGCATTTATAAGAAATCACTTAGACTGAGTATGGTGGCTCTTGCCTGTAATCCCAGCACTTCGGGAAGAGGAAGTGAGAGGATTGCCTGAACCCAGGGGTTCAAGACCATCCCGGGCAACTTGACGAGACCTCATCTCTATAATAAATTAAAAAATCAGCGGGATGTAGTGGTACATACCTGTAGTTCCAGCTACTTGGAAGGCTGAGGTGGAAGGATCACCTGAGCCTAGCAGGTCGAGGCTGTGGTGACTGTGAGTGTGCCACTGCACTCCAGCCTGGGCAATGGAGTGAAACTCGGACTCAAAAAAAAAAAAAAATTACTTAATATAAAAGTAAGAGCATGGGATATAGGTTTATATGCTGACTCTAGTGCTTATTACCTTAGATAGGACACTTTCCTCAGTGTAAAATGGAGATGACAGCATCTACCTTATGGGATTGCTATGAATTCATGAGTCAATCATATAACTGCTTAGAATATTGACTGGCATTTAATGGACATTCAGTAAATATTAGGTGGTAATTTTATTTTGCTAGGCATTCAGAAAAATCTGTCTGAATAGCAGGAGGTGAGGGCCGAAGTAATAGAGTAAAGCCATATCAAGGGGGGCATG